TTGCCCCTGTTGAACCTCATAAGGTTTTTAACCACCCAGTCCTCCAGTCTGTCCAGGTCCCTCTGGATGGCAGCACAGTCCTCAGGGCTATCAGCTACTCCTCCCAGTTTGGTATCATCAGCAAACTTGCTGAGGGAGCACTCCAGCCCTTCATCCAGGTTGTTAATGAATAAGTTGAACAGGACCSGACYGAGGACCGACAATCTAGCATTACTTGAAATTCTGATTCAAAATAATGGCAGAACTTAAAGAGAAGGTATTTTCTAGAAAAAGCAAGGTATCTTGAAAGAAGTGCATGTGAGAACCACAGCCTCTGTCTATTCTCATTTGCTGGATTCAGCAGTGAAGCCAGATAAGGGTTTCCAGCCTCCACCTCCGTTTCTCTGGAGAAAATATTGTCTGGGAATATTGTCCACTTAGATGAACCAACAACATTTTATCTAGGGCAGAATTAAAGAGAGACATCCACTCCCCTTTAGGTCCTCCAAGGGCAGAGTTTATGTTCCAGGACCTCTAATACACTCAGGTTTGGCAAATCCTTGGGGACAGGGAGAGAGAAAAACCACTCAAAAGTGTCTAAAGTGCCTGCAAAAAAATCACCCTATAAGATCAAGGCTGACATTTAAAAAAAAAAAAAAAAAAAATAGAAACCAGCAGAGAAGCAATCAAAGCTTTCTCTAGATCCTGAAAATTGCGCTTCTGAACATTGCCTTTTAAAACAAGAAAAAAAAAAAACCAAAAACACCAAACAATTAGCACTAGCCTTTCATATTAATTCAATAGACCTTCCTACCTGCCATCACAAAGAACACACAATTACCTGTATCTGAGAAGCGTGCAAGTCCATAGTGATGATATGGTCAGCTCCTGCAACTGACAGCATGTTGGCAACAAGTTTTGCAGAGATTGGAGCACGACTCTAAGGAATAAAGCACAAACATTCACATTTTAATATTTACTAGATATAGAGAGTCAGAAAATTTGCTGTATTTTCCTTTAGCTTATTTGCTATTTAGTACAATGTACTCCAAAATTTGTGACCAAACCAGCCTGTCAACAGCAAATTTTGCTATCAGGGTTTTGAAAGTCAGTGAAACATTTTGGAGCATCTGAATAAGCTTGCACAGCCTAGCTAATTATGCCTGACACTCCCCTCCTCCCCCCTCCCCCCCAAAAAAAATTATCTGTTGTGGATAAAGTTTTCCAATTCTTTACTTTGATTTTTTTTTTTTTTTAACTTGCTTCTCTATATCAAGGCCAGACAGTCTTCATTTCTCTAACCTTCAATTCATACATTAATATCCGATTCTCAGGCAACTATCCTATTCCCAAAAAAACAGTGTTAAATATGARGGAAGGCATGGTGGACTTTACTTTTAAAAACCACTGCTTACAACRAAGTTATTATCAAATATTTCTTCATGATACAGTAAGACTTGTAACAGATTCATCTAGACAGGAGTAGAAGACTATTCGTTTTGCCAATTAGGATTTAGTAGTTAGACAATTAGAAATCTAGACTTCTGAGGGGAGAGAGGGAGGGAAGCGGAAGAGAGAAYGGGAATGCAGAAAACAGGAAAGTAGAAGCAGAGGAAGAACAAAAGAGTAGTTAGCGCAGTTAAGTGCAATATCTAGTGCACTTTTCATCTGACAAAAGATGCAAAATGAGCAGTGTTACAGCATGACTGCAGAATAGCTTACAAGTTTTCTGAACTCTGTTTTTCCTGAGCAAAGAGCTCTGTAGAGCCCTTTGAGACTCTGTAGCTTTGTAAAGAAAGCTGTGCCACCCTCTGCTTTGTCTGTAATGGACATGCTAAACTAAATTTCCTGTTTTCTTTTTACCAACCACTAAATATGAATAACCACCAGCAGTACTGTTAGCACAGAAGCAGAACCAATGCAGAGGTTCCATCTCACTGCTGGTGTTTGGTTTTGTTAACAAGGTGTTTTCTCCTCCTAGATATTTTCATTAAAACTCTTCACTTAGTCTTCTAGGAACTCCTACATAATTTTACAAAGTACCTCACAATTTGTAAAAATTATCTTAAGGGCAAAATCTACAATAACATGAACCATTGCCATTTTAACCTGGATGCTATGCCAGTATCCAGGTATGGCTACAGCACAGACATTTTCCTCAAAGCATTTGAGGATTTAGTTAGAAATTCAACCCTTCCCTGTTTCAACCCGTGAAATGTCAACACACTCCGAAAGAGTGCAATAGCTCAGTATATTTCATTAAAAAAAATCATTAACCTCTTCATTTAGAAAGCTCCTATGCATTTGTATGTGCATTTTGCACAAAATTGATGCATCTTATGCAAGTCAAAGAGGGGAGATTATGCATACAGCCATTTGCAATTTCCATATATCTCCAGTTCACATGCAGGCAGCTTCCGTAAGGTTTTTGAAGTCCTTACAGCCTCATGAGGGAAGTCTATTTCCGAGCTGTGAGGACTTCCCCAGTCTTCATTGATGCTCAGCTCTGTAAGATGCAAGTGTGCCAAAGCTTTCTGCATACTTTTATTCTTAGTAAACTTGTAATTTGTTCTGTCCAAGATCCCAGTTGCTTCAGGTCATTGTAGCAGTTCAATGTGGACTGGGCTAGCCCTCAACATATTCTCAAGTCTCTGGTAACATCCAGCAAAATAAAGATGCAATTCCTCATCTTTTGACTCTACCATGATGTTCTTTCATCAGCAATTTCTGAGGTTAGTTAAGCTAAACTGACAAATGCARCTGGAGGCAGAGATTTGTTCACTTTGTTCTCCCATTCCTTGCCTCCAGTCAATACATTTCCCAAACTTTCTCTTGGGCTGCACACTGAAGCCGCAGCAGTCAGCTAAGGAAGCCAAAAAGTGGTGTGTGGGTGGGGGGAATAAAACAGCTAAGTGGGAGCGGTAACAAGTTCAGCCTCACTGTCACAGCAAAAAAAGACCCTTCCCAGAATGTCATTTACATTTTCACTCCTTCTGGCCTCATGAATTTCACTTATTTTTTTCCCCTCCATTTCTTTTCAACAAAAATACCAGTAAACTTATCATGTGCTCCATATCATGGGTATCACTATCACATAAAAAAAAATTCCTGCATCAAGTACTAATGTATACTTTACCAGTTGGTACTTCTTTCAGCTGCTGGCCCTTGCAGGCTGACTTACCAGAAAGAAAAACTTCAAGGTTTTACCACTAGGTAGCTTGTTTTAGTAGACAGGCACATCACAGATTGCCTACGTGATGGTGGACAGAGGGTCTTGAAAGGAAAGATAGCCAAACAGCAATACCTGTTTCTCAAGAATGGGCTAATAGTAGATTAAGACAAATGAAGTTTTTGGCTATCCAAGCTTCCTCCACATAAAATTGCCCATTAAAATAATCATGCTCAAAAAAAGATTTAAGATTTGATTGCTTAAAAAGAAAGGGAGAAAAGTTTTGTGCTGCAACATAATCCAAGTTGATTTTTCAAATAAACTTCAAGAAAACCTCAATCTAGCCTCTAATTGAGAAACTCAGAGGACAAAGGTAGACAAGAACTGAAGGTTTTCTTTGACTTTGTGATGTTTGCTTCTCAGAGRCAGGAATACAAGAAGATTCACTATATTCATTGTTCCATTCTTTGACACAATTTGAGATTATTCGGAATTATCAGTGTGAAATACAACATTAGATTATGTACAGAAAATAAATTGAAGTAATTACTGAGGTTTTTAGTTTCTATGCAAATTTCCCCCACACATATAACAATAATTATATAAAGATTTCATCTTTACAGTATGTTACAAAATTATTAGCAATTCTTAAAATCACTAGAGGTTGGGAGGGAATACATAAAGCTAGTAAAAATGACCTCATAAGAACAACTATGCAAACAATACATAGCTGAAAGCTGAAGTTGGCAATATCTTTAAGTATCTTAATATATTGTTTTGCTCGAAATGCATCAAATGCATACTGAACCAAAAATATATATCATTCAAGAAACCACAAACATTTGACTGGAACTTTCACTGTCAAGAAAGCCAGTTCTGAAGTTTACTGATACTGAATATTCACTAATTTATTACCTCAAATTTCTCATTTTGAAATTGAGATATGCTTTGAAGCCTCAGAAATTGACAGCCATTATCTTGAATGTGCAAATAAAATTTCAACTAAAAATCAAGGAGTTTTCTATTWGCAAATTATTCCACAGAATTACTGTCATGGCTTAGGTATCTATGATGTAACCCATTAAGTCTCACCCTTTAAGGTCACCTTAATGGAAATTCTTACTGTTAGATTAAAAATGTTAAATAAAGAAGAATAAGAATACCTACCCAACGCTCCACGGCTCCCTTCTACAAATCAAAAAAACAAAGTTACGTAAGCTGTGGAACCAAACCTCACCCTTCACTATACTTCTAATTATCTCAAAGACATCTTTACAGCATCCTACATAAATGTATCTTGCCCAAGGCTTTGAAGGTAAATATAGTTAGAGGATGCATAAACTTGCAAATATAGCCAAAGCACAGACACTTGAGCTAATTTTAAATTAGCTTGTGTATCAGAATCATTCTAGCTTATGACAGCACTTGATTATGTCCAAGTCAGTTAACCAACTCTCCTAGGATTCTTGTCTTTTTTTTTTTTAAACCTTTGCTTCTTTCTTTATAACCAGGAGAAGAGCTTGCATGAATCTTTCTACTGACCTGCTACATCTATTGCTAACACTCAAAGTCAAAGCTAACTCACTTAGAGCCACTCTAGGTTTAGTACTAAAGTGTCCAGAGCGGATTACACAGGGCTTACTCAGCCTAGATGTTTTGCCAAAAGCCCCTTTTACCTATATCAAGAACACTTACACTGTTTGGCTGTTTTTAGTGACCATTAGTGCAACAGAGGCATGAATAAGGTGACCTATCCGCAGAAAGGACTCATCTACAAAGAAYTAAATGGGCTGAATGTTAAATTCTACTGTTAAACAGCGGATTATGCTGCCTCACTTTGTATTCAAGCAACTGCAGCAAGATCTTTCAGCAGAAAGAGAAATCTGCGTACATTCGTAGTAAGAAAATGGCTGGCACTTTTCTGACATTTCCGGCAGCACACAAGTCTYAGGCATCCAACATGGGTCAAAGACCAGCTGATGTGTTGCAATGGAACAGCGRGAGGAAGGCTCTCCCTGTTAATGAGCTGCCCAGTGTCAACAGCTACAGTATAGTTTATTTTGCAACACAGAGGTCAACTACCAAGGTTATTTTCCAGAGATGGCAAACATCTTTTGCAATTGCAAAATAGGGGTTAAAAGGGAAAAAAATGAATTAGCTTGCCTAGAATTGCAGAACACAGCAGCACCCAAAGACAAGTCTGGAATGGAACAATGCTTAGAGTCCAAGTGTCTTATTTACTTTTCTGTGCTGTCTAACTTCAGGATGGCATTGCCAAAAATGCTGGACCTTCCTCCCATAGGTTTCAAGGGTCTCTTGGAAGTCTATTATCTTAATTTTTGGTGCACTTGATATTTCCTAGAAGCACAGTAAACTTGGGACATACTCATTCTTTTCTCACACCAAGCGTTTGTATTGGGGTCCAGCAAAATCTGCAAATATGAATTTGGAAATCAAACATCTTCAGGAGCAAGATACTTTCCTTAGCCTTCAAAAGTGCTTATTACTCTCTCTGCAAGCTCTTTTGATAAAACCCTTTCCAGCTTTCTAGTCAAGACAGAGCATTATTTGATACAAAAGAATAGCCAAAGTTCCAGAAGATGTAGGCAAAGGAGAGGGAGCTACTATTCATGTCCTAAATAGAGTTTTTGAAAGTTTTAATAATAATAATAATAATGTTGTATTACAGAGGCTACAGTCCTTGAAAGAAAACTTTGGGCGTATTCAATCTTGTTCTCCTTGATCGCATATCAATGACAGCATATTTTGTTGTTCTCTACTATTTTTATAGTCTATGGCCATTAWCAATCCTGTTTTATTTTATATAAAAATAATAAGAAAAAAATTAACAATCAAAACCTAACAGGACTTTAAGAATGCTTTGTTCAGTGCTCAAAGTGCAAGGGGGGAAGGGAGGGAGCAGTCAATCTATAGCAAGTACTGGAGTGGGACAATTTCTGAAAGAGACGACATTTGCAATCTGATATTTAAATCTGTATGTCATAACTTGCAGTTCTTTTCAATTTAGTTTGGCAGAAGTAACACTCATGTACCATAAGGCTTTCACATATATGTACTAGAGATTGATTTAAAAAAATATAGAACTAGATTTTTCAAACTTACTTGTCAATAAGGAAGGGTTACTGAACCATCAATCCAGCAGAATTGTTGCATGTATCACTTGTAGAATCCCAAATTTAGAGAAAAAGCACTAAAATGCCAGAGTGATTCTTGCCCTTTACTTTCACTGCATTATGTCAATAATGTCATTGTGTACTGACATTATGCCACTACATTATGTCAGTATGTCAATCTTTACTACAGATAATGTGACTTTATTTTTATTAAATAAAATTTCAATATAAGGATTTTATTCTGTGCTATTATATTAATTAAAAATAGTGATATTTAAAAAAAAGAGAAAAAAAGAGGAAAAAAGTTGACAAAGCAAGAAAGAGCTTCACCAAGTTAGGTACTAGGTGCCAGCAAGGTACTCCAAAATATACTGCACACATGTACCTACTTATAAAAGTCAAAATAAGTGCAAACTCATTTATTGTCTCCATTTCTTTAGAAAAGTTGTAATTCAATACTTGAATATAGAGACAAATATGTTAAAAGAGTCTTAACTGTCATTTAAATGTTTATGAAAACGTATTTTATCTCCAAAAGCTTCAAGGGAACAAGCTGAAAAAAAGAGACCTTAGAAACATATGCTTTTTATAATGAAACACATCTTACCTACCTTGTCTTTCTTATCTTGCCTGGCATATGGAAAACACGGAATTACTGCAGTCACTCTGGAGGATGATGCAATCTTGCAGGCATTGATCATGATGAGTAGTTCCATTAAATTGTCATTAATCTCTCCACAGCCACTCTGGATGATGTACACATCTTCTCCTCTCACACTTTCACCAATCTCTACACTGAAAAAGTAAGAGACACAGACATTTAATCACAATAGTTACTGGAAGAGAGTTATTAAAGAATAGGAAAAAAMCTGTTTTGGCCAAAAAACTTTCATAGTTTTATCCTCATTTGGGATTCTTTTACCCTGATTTGGTAAAAGTCTCCCCTTGACACAGTTTACTTCAAAACAAAGCAGTTGACTTCAGTCTACATAGAGCTTTTTTTTTTTTGGTGCTTCAGTTGAGGTATTCTATGCCCCATGGAGAGTTATGATATCCTAACATGTAAAAGAATCTACCTAAATAATTACAGGAACTAATTACAGAAGAAAAAATTAAATTCAAGAAGCTACTGCATTTTAGAAGACAGCAGCAGCAAAGAGCCAGGCAGAAGTCTGGTCAAGATTGTACAAAGACATCATGATTTCAATTAAAAAAAAAGTTCACCAACACTTCACCCAAGATTTCTCACATGCTGTGCTAATTGTTCTAACCCAGCTTACATAGCTTGGTCGTTTAAGATAGAATAAATTAATTTTAGAGGCTATCACAGATTTCAAAGTAAATTTTGGTACTCATCGCTGTCTTGCATCATATTTACGCGTTACACATTAACATCAACACTATAGAATTCAGAGTAAAATATAGCTCAAAATAAATATGAAAATTAGAGCAAATATGTGGATTTTTTTCTCTTCATTCTAGATCCAAGTGTGAGAAATATACTGTTGAGTCACACCCACAGCTATTAACTCAAAACTTACAGAAGCTACAGACATGGATTCAGGAAAAAATGGTTAATAAAATGAACGAGAAAAGCAGTCTTCCTGAATCACAAGGCAAATGGTGCATTTTAACCGATTCTCACAGGGCAAMGGGAGCATTTAAACCCATCCTCTATTAAGTCTGTCTGATGAACTAAGGGCTAAGATATCTTCAGTTCTCATTTGAAAGGTTGCACCTTCACCCAAGCCACAGATAAGCCAGAGATTCTAGCTAGAAACCATCCATGTGGCCCAGATGGAGTAGGAAACAGTTTATCTGATGCTCCTTCAACACTGAAATCTTTTCTAGGCCGAAGAGCTGTAGCTCATCAGCTTCCAGGGCACTATGTAAGAAGCTGTCGTTTTGTGTAGCTACAAAACACAAAAAAGAATCAACTGCTTATGTACATTTGAATGATGCACAAGCAGTAGAGGCAGTCCCATCAGGASAGTTGAGGGCAGTACCACCAGTTACCTTTTGAAAACTGTCAAGAGGTACCTGTCCCAGACAGAACTGTCCTCACTTTGAAGGTGTGCACAGCAGAATAAAATTCAATTACACAGAACAGACTGGGCCAACTTAATGAGCAGCTTAATTTTGTTTCTCCCTCATTGGGCAATGTGCAGTTTCATGCTGAACTGTGAAGGAATAAGTCTGGTGGAAAACGTATGTGAGCATGCAATTAAAGAAAATGCTGTAAGCCAGATGCAGCAGGCACTAGATAAGCAAATTTTTTTCACTTTCTCTCACTAGTGCTCTTCACTAAGCACTGCTATGACCCGAGGGACTCACTTTCCAACCTTAATACTTCCAGCTTCCTAATTAAATTTGTTTCATCTTTCTCCTGGCTACTTGACCATGTCCTCCTATGTAGATGTATTTATTCCTTCTCATATTAGTTGCTCCTGTCTTGCTTAATTCTTTCTCCCTCCAATCCCCTATTCAACTTCCCATCTTTCGTCCTCACACCTGGTCTCAGGCTTGCTGTCTGCACTAACATACATCTTCCATCTCCCTACTTTTTGCCTCATCAGACTTGTTTTCCTTCAAATAGTGCTTTTATATTACATTCCTACCATCAGAACAGCCACCAGGAAAACAGAAGGAAAAACAAATCCCTGTGCTCTCAGCATCCCCTGTTCTGCAAACTCAGAGCAAGTATTTTTTTCCCCACCCAAATAAAGTTACCAGCAAGATTTCCTCAAGTAAAGAAAAATATTTAGTAGGCAAAAGGATCTCTCTGAGACTGACTCAGTCAGAGACAGTGCTGCTTTCAGGTATCACAGGGTTAATCCTAGCAAGTCTTTGAGACCTCCATCCAAGCAGAAAGATGTGRTTACCCAAATATTGCTTCCTTGTCCCATCTGCTTTTTTTGATGAGAACAACGAATTTATTCAGATAAGACTGTTTATGAATATTTGTCAAATTTATTTTTTTTCTTAGTTTRTTTTTCTTTTAGGAACTGAAAAGAAATTTTGGCCAACACCACTGCAGTTCAGCAAAGCTCTAAGCATGGCCGATAACGGGAACAATTTGTTAACCGTAATAAGAAGCACTAAAAATTAGCTCTCATATTGGGGTTAGGAGTTCTGTTTTCCAGAGGAAAAGAACAACAAAAGTAACAAATCTTTCTTTTTTTTTTTTTTTTTCCTGGACATATAAATCTAGCTCAGTATAAGGCATCTATCCATTAGCACATGCAGGAGCTCTGTGGCATTTCTTTCAACTCTGGCCTATGAAGTGACATTTTTGTTCCTGAAAGTAATATAGGAATCACTCAATACTTCAATGAAAAAATGAGGCCTAAAAAGCGATATTGTCAATTTCTGGGAGCGAGTATTGTTGGAGTGACACAGGAGGGCAGTACAAGGTTTTAGTACTTGGAAGAAAGAAAAAGAAAGACCATTTCATACATGCATTACATAATAGGAAAAAAGCTTTGATGAAAGGCAAAAATCCACCACCTTAACGTTCAATATATACATAATCATAGAATCACAGAATCCTTAAGGTCAAAAGGRACCTCTAGAGATCGTGTAGTCCAACCTCCCTGCACACACAAGMTCACCTAGAGCCCAGGGTGGCATCCAGGAGGTCCTGAAGACCTCCAGAGAAGAAGACTCCACTACCTCCCTGGGCAGCTGGTTCCAGGGCTTTGGCAATATTTAATTATAACACAGAGATTTGTTTTCTTCTTAAAACTGCCATTTTTAAGCACCCCACTAAGAAATAACAGGTTTCAAAAAGCCAAGGTATATTTTGAGATGAATATAGTTCTGGTTAACATGAGGGACCTGAAGTGGTGATTCTCCCATGGTCACTAATTACTTTCCCCCCCCCCCGCCCCTCTTGGGCTTGCCATTACTTTTTCCATCTCGCTAGCACCTTAGAAAATGAAAACGGTACTCCTTTCGCCCTTGGCATTCATTAAAATGTTATGGTCTTGCTTCCCAGGACAGGACATACAGCACTGGTACACATGCATGTGAATAATACATGCTATGTCTATGCAACTATCTGATCACAGACTGCAAGTATGTGGTGAACAAAGACACTATCTGCAAACTGAAATGAATCAAGCTTAAATTAATATTTGCATAGCACTCTAGAATAATCGAATTAGAGGTACCAGAGAAGCACATAATGTAATTATTGCACAAAGCTCTTACAATCAACTAGTGATGGTCATGCAACAGATTAGTATTTCACCTCATTTRCCTTTCCAAAGTTCAGCAGTACTACTACAAAGATACAATTTAGGCCACCTGTATCGCAATCAAATTAACTAATCAATCCATTTGAGATTTTTGTTTAAACAACATTGTACAGTGAGGACACAGCGGAAGGACACAGGAACAAGATTACAAGCTCTGCTTGTTTTATGCAACTTTATCAAATTCAGCTATTTGGCAAGAGTTTATTTAAACTTCTTGCTCGAGAAGAGTCAACAACAGCTGTCCATTAAAAGCTCCAAACCATACAGCTTTTACGGTAAGCATTGTAGAAATTAACAGCCTTCAAAAGTAATCAGCTTTAAATTTCATCCATTTACTTGAGATCTGTGGTCCATGTRATGTTGGATGGTTAAGATGTGCAAGACAGAACATGATGAAAAACCAGTGTGAGTGTTGAACTTGCAATGGCTGACTGAAGAGCTTCAATATCTAGAACTTCAGACAGACTAATTATTATCAATTAAGGATAAAGTTCAAGAACAACTTACATTATAAAGACATTTAAATAAAAGGCTGAAGCATACAATCTTTAGGCAAAACTTTCAAGTCAGGAATAATAGTAGCCTTGGCCTTTTATGATACTAAATTTATGGCAATTACTAACAATTGATAGCAAGGGGAATTTTAAATAAGTATATCTTAACTCAGAAAAAAAAATAAGTGTGGGAAAGCAGTGAAATAAGTATGAAGAACTACACTAAAGTGGTTCCACAGAACCACAGCTAAGTCTATGAACAGGATGCAGTTAAAATCATATATTTAAAGGGTTCCATGTCCCTTTAAAAATAAACAAACTGATAATGAATGAAGTTTGCGGCCGTGCTTACAGAAAGTTTTATTTAGGTACTTTATTTAGTATTTTCAGCTTTATTCTTCATTTCAGATACTTCCAGTACCCAGAGAAGAAGCCAAAACTTGGAGGCTAGAGTCCTCATACTATGTGCAGAGAAAATCAATATCTCACAAATGATGAAACAAACATACACGCACGTGCTGAATTTGCAGATCATCAAAAAACAGCCAATAGAAAGTGCTAAGCAGAGGGGTGTGTTTGAACTCTTACACTTGGGAACAAATTTGTGCAGAGTAAGGCATTTAACTTAAGGTCTCCAACTTACTGGGCAAATAYTTCAATTACCATGATGTTATACAACAAAATGGTTACAAGAATACTGAAAAAGCAGCTTCACAAAACGAAGCATTTTGGGTCTGTTCTACTGGACATCTACCCTGGATGAGCTCAGGAAGCTGTATGCAGAACTGGGGAAATACAGCAAGCAAACCCCAGCAYGGCAAGTTCAAGTGGCCCCCGAACAACCATCGGAATTTCAGCAAGGGAAAGTCAGGAAGGTGCATGGCCTCGAGCAGCTTTCACAGGACATCTCCCTGAACACTAATATCCMCACACCTGTTCTAACGCGGTCCTTAAGGTCCATTTATATGGCTAGTGGCAAATGTGACTGGACCAAACAGTAGAGCAGAGATGAACTTCAACTGTTAGGATGCCAAAGGCAGCT